CATTTCTTTATTTTGTACACTCTTTACCCCGGTGAGGACCTAGATGGCTCGGTCTTGGTTCTTATGTCTTGAGTTTTATGCATGATGTGACTGTCTTGAGTAAGTGGTTGAGTCAAGTCTATGTTGGTTGGTGAACAGAAGGGAAACTCTTCCTTTGCCCGATTTTGCTGCACTCGAATGTCCTCTGTGGTGGTTGTCCAAGTTGAGGTTGAAGTTGATCAGGTGTTGATGTGTGAAAGCCAGTATGATTCCCGTGTTTCGTGCCTATGTGATATGTCCCCAAGGGGTTGCATGATTGAGATATTTCGAGCTTACCTTGAATCTGGCTTGGTTTGCTTGGGGACAAGCAAACGGTTAAGTGTGGCGGAATTTGATAGCATCGTATTTGCACATGTTTTCACCTTTGTTTCCTGACCTATAGCTCGAATTTGTTGTTCCTTGGCCTATTTTATGCTAGGTTGTGTTGTTTTGGCATATTTCAGGTCCTAGCAAGTAAAGAGGCGCATAGGCGCAAGTTTCGGGTCATTTGGAGGCCGGATTGCGCTTTAAAGGGAAAATTACGGGCAGCCCCTGAACAATTACGGTCGTAATTGTCCCTGGCATGCCCGTAATTTCAATGCCGAGCCTAATTTCCAGATTCCTGTCGCAGAGTCAATTACGGGCAAGAGTCACTTTAATTACGGTCGTAATCCAGTAATTACTGGCGGTAGTTGGCAAATTACGACCGTAAATCCTGTCTTCCGAGTCAAGTGAAACACGCGTTTTGGGCAATTACGGGCATACCACAATTACGGTCGTATTTCTGCCCGTAATTCGCCCAGAATCGGGTTTTTGAGGCAGATTCGAGCCAAAACAGAGGGAGTCGACTTTTGAGAGCAAAAACAGAGTTTTAGAGAGAGAAAGAGCGAAGAACAAACCCTAGGAGCTATTTGGAGTGGATTTCTCACCATTAAAGCCCAGATTGCGTCCCCAGGAGTGAAGATTGACATCCCAGAGCAGATTTTCCTCATCTTTATGAGTATGACTACTCTGATTTCTGTTTTCCTCTCTCTCTCTATGGAGTAGAACCCTTCTCTCACTTGGGTATGAAGAACCCTAGTTCCATGTGTTAGGGATCTGATTGTAATGACTTGGGATGATTATACTGTTTGGTTTTAATCGAATGATGCTTGATTCATTGAATTGATTGAAGTCTGATAAGCTTTTCTTGATTTCTGCTGCAACCTGAGATAGATAGAATCTGATTAGGTTGTTAGAGCTACATCATTCGGTAGTAGGAGATTGGCTATACGAGAGTTAGTCAGTTTACTGCTTTGTACTGGAATCCAATTCCAGTAGTGGAGTTCTGTGTTCATAGCCTCAGCTTTCTATCCCGGTGAAGACTAGTCGTCTGCCGGGTAGTTAGACTGAGAGGGCTTGGTCAGCTTAAGAGATTCCAAGCTACTGTCGGATCTTCCGCAGTTTAATCAACAGTAAATCAACCCAGGGTAATTATAACTGAGACCTAACTAAGGAGCTAGGGGGACTCATTCTCGAGTGACTCTTCCTTGCTTTAGAAAACCGAACAAATTTCCTGCTTTCTTACTGCTTTTAGTTAAAACAACAATCACTCGACTTAGTTGGCTAGATAATAGATAATCACGGAGTAGGCAGTAGATCTAGACCCCGGGTTGATAATAGAACTTGCCTGTTACTGCATTTCCGGGCTGCGATTACACTTGGTCGCAGTTTGGTGTTGTGTTTTGGCGTGCCAAATACTAAGCTAAACGAATAAGAAATGAGGGGTAAAATATGTACATTTGGTCCCGAATCAGTATGCAAATTTTTTTCCTGAATATATTGAAAATGAATCTCATTTTGTAGATCACAATGAACTCGTACCATCTATGCAAAAAATTTCAAATCCAAGTTATAATGGAAAGGCAAGAACTTATTAAGAAAACTAAGAAAAATAAAAAGTCATTAATTTCATCGCTTAAATTTGGACTTTTATGATCCCATTAAAATTTAAGGGTTTAGATTTAGTTATGGCAGCGTGCAGCCACGGGCCACCATGGCCTTAACCCTAAAATAAATTTTATTGATAGGAAACCCTAAACTAAAGGGTAAATTGCAAATTTGGTCGCTGAGTTTACTAAAAATATTCACGTTTGGTCACTACAAATATTTAATTCAACTCGTGTTCACTAAAATTAGTTCAATAGTTCAAGTTTGGTCACTCTCCCTTAGTCTCCGTTAACTTTTGCGAATGTGACAGTCAACCTTCATAGTTGATCACTAAATGAGTGATGTGGCTACTAAAAAAAAATTAATCTTTTTAATTTACACCTATTTTTCCACAACTATTAAAAAATGAAATCCAAATCTTGTTGTTCCCCTGCTGCCAGCGAATCCTCCGCTTCTCCTCCGGTAAGTAGCGGACTGATTTTTTTCACCAGTCGTCGTCATCGATTCAAGCAACTACATCTTCCCCGCTACCAGTGAACCTCAGCTTCTCCTCTGGTCTTCAACCATGTCGAGTTTTTCAACTTTTGACGCTTCTCTTAACGACTCGACATATCTGTGTTCAATAGAGATTGGTGCGGCGCCGGAGCTCCGAAAGTTCAAAAAGCCAGAACCCCATGAAACCCAGATTACGATTCTTCGGCGATGACCAGTCCTGTGTTGGTTGAAATACAAAAACTACACCCCTTGGCCCTTAGCTAAATCGAGAAGGGGCTAGGTCGAGGAAGAAGAGGACCGGGAATTCAAAATCGACGGGGGAGAGAGGGATTGGCGACGGCTTCTCTAAGGAGTAGAAGGGGTGGGGTTTGTATAGAGGTGGGCAACGGGAAACGGGTATTTGGGTCTACCCGTACCCGTCCCGTTTTTTAAGGATTACAGGTACCCATATTACCCGTAATATTATAAACGGATGGGACTTGGAATTGTACATTTCTAATATGGGTACCCGCGGGTTACCCGCAAATACCCATTTGGGTAATATGGGTACCCGTTATACCCATTCAATATGGGACCCACCATCATTTCTCTGCTAATACATGTTTATGTAGTGGGTTTGAGATGTAATTGTCTTTAGCTAAAACGTCATCTGGTTTTAGGGACATGTTTTGAAATGAATGCTTGTGTATATAGAGATTGAATTTATGTTTTTGATCATATCGTGTTCTTATTATTCCCCGCAAGAGCATGTTATTGTAAAGATATGTAATGTGATGTCATTTAAACTTGGGTATTTATGGGTAGTATGGGTACCCGTTATCCGTCCCGTACGGGTAATGGGTACTCGTTTCACATATGAGTTTGGGATATGGGATGGACTTTAGTCTCCAAATGAGATTGGGTACCCGTTTAAAACGGGATAGGTATCCCGTCCCGTCCCGTTGCCCACCCCTAGGGTTGTACCTTCAATTGTGACCTTCTAGTTGGGGGTTTTAGTGTAAATTGTTTGATTGATAAATCAGGGGGAACCTGTATGCAGAGAAATAGAGTGTAGTCGAAACTGGTTCATGAAATGCTGAATGAGTAAATGAAACTGAATGGGGGAGAGCAAAAGAAGTTAGGAGTGACGAAGCCTGCAACATATTTAGCGATTGGAACGGTGCTTGGCGTCATGCAACAGATTTGGATATGGGACGAAACCGATAGCGACTACGATTAATCTCTAAGCAGCTGTTGGGCTCGGATTGATTCTGAGTATAAGTTTAGAAGAATCGCCCAATCCGATTGATTTCACATAGAATTCGATTGATCTAGTCGAAACAACAAAGGATCTGGCAAAGGAAGGGATGGTTGCATCGAAGTCCATCTTTCTACTGGGAGGGATTGGTGCAAGGCACAACAGATAGCTTCTTCATCAGGAAAAATTTAATGATTAAATTTTTTATTAATTTGTAAATGGCACGTCACTCATTTAATGGTCAACTATGAAAGTTGACTGCCACATTAGCACAAATTAACAGAGATTAACGGAGAGTGACCAAATTTGAACTATCAAACTAATTTTAGTGACCACGAATAAAATTAAATATTTGTAGTGACCAAATAGGAACGTTTTTAGTAAATCAAGTGATCAAACTTGCCATTAACCCCTAAACTAAGGGGTCGTTTGCTTCAAGGATTTGGTACATGGATTTGGTACCAAAAAACCAACTATCAAGGATTTAGGTACAATCCGTTGTTTGCTTGCACCTTTTTTGGAGCCCAAATCCGTGGGGCCCACGGATTTTAAGGGTCCAAATCCGTGGACCCCACGGATTTATAAATCCCACATGTTGATGTGGGATTTGGAATATGACATAAATCCTTGATGAGATTTTACCCATATACCCTCATGCACTTTTAATCTTCCAAAGTTGACCTCAAATTTAACTACTATTCATTATAATTAACAATAAATGAATAATATAAACGTTCAATTAATGTGCAAATATGAGTTAGATTTTTTATATCATTTCTTGTGTTCTAGTTTTCTTTGACCTTTTCATGGAACGTGTAATTCTTTGTTCTCCCGATTCTAATATATATTGTTATATGTTACTTTTGAAAAAGAGGACAAAGAATTGGTAATTGATTATGTTACGTTAAAAGTTAAAATGGAATTTTCTCGTTTATAATTATTGTCCATGTGGCAACATTATGCTTATTAGTATGTATTGTCCTTGTTTTGTGAACATATCATAAACACGTCAAACATATAGAAAATGATAGTAAGGTAATTTTGAAGTTTTGTCCTTGTGTACATATCATAAACATGTCAAACATATAGAAAAGGGCAGTAATGTAATTTTTTACTTCAAGTAGTAAATCTCACACCTTTAAATCCATGATAAAAACATCCCAACAAACAAAGGATTTTACAAATCCATGATTCCTCAAATCCTTGATAAATCCTTGGGTTTTTAAATTACAAAACCCTCATTTTTAAATCCATGAAGCAAACGACCCCTAAATTAAGAGTTTTGTTTATTATATAATAGCTCGTCTCTCATCTTTCGAAACCCAGAAACATAGCTCGCGAAAATGCAGAGACTCCTCTCATCAAGCCTCCTCTCCAAGCGATTCACAAACAGTTGCACTTCTTCACTTCTCCATTCTCAACCTCACAATTATTTCGCTTCTCTCCCCAACCCGAAAAACTTCCTTCTTCAGTCTCATCCTTTTCTTTCCTCTTATGGTAAATGCCCAATTCGTCGTTCCCATTCTTATCACCCACATCTCAATGTTAAGGGCAGTATTTTCCCCTGGTTCCGTCCCAATCCCTCACTTCCCAAGCAGTTCTCGTCAAATTCGCGCAATGCCCACTTCAGGGAAGCCAGCGGAAGTCTCGTTCGACGCAAAGCTGGGGTTCTGGAGGCTCGTTTCGCTAGGGGATACCGTGGATTTGACAGGGGTTTACGTTCTTCCGGTCGTGACTGGTAATTCTCTCTTTCTGCAATTTGTTGCCTTGTTGGTAGGTTGGTCTATTAGTAGAAGGTGGGTAACTTGGTAACAAGTTTAAAGGCGTTGCAGTCTGTCTATAAAATAGGTATTCTGTGCTAATGGCAATGAACACGTACGATTCTGTAGTTAACCACGATTTCCTCTTCTTTTATGCAATTCCGAGACTCATTGCTCGGAATGGTGCTTCGTGTATCTTAAAATCTGACAATAGCGGTCATGCTGGTAATCTATCGCATAGTTTGTGAGCTTTTTAGTATCGTCATTCACGTCACTGTAGCATCTGGATGGAACTTAACCACTGTGCTCTTTGACCCAGCATTCTACTCCCGTAGTCTTTGATTGGAATGGAGACTTGTTAGAAGACCTACTCAGGATATTCTCGTGTTAGTCTCACGGAAATGGTCGGGGATTAAAAATCTGGTTATGATGAAAGAATTCTTGGAAGAAACTAAAACTTGGCCAGGCTTTCTATCTCAATGATTGAACTTCTGCTGTTTGCAGGAGATTATGGTTTCAGCAGCTAACACCTAACGACATGGTTTTGGGCTTGATTATGGCCAATGCTGCTGTTTTCATGTTGTGGCAGATTGCAGACCGGAGATTTATGGTGGAAAACTTTATGGTGGGTCCCTTAATTTTTCATATTAGAGACATCATATTTGCCAATAGATCAAGGGTTCTTGTTCATCTTTTCTTTATACCTTGTATTATGGTCATTATTTCCTGAAATCAGCTTCTGTGGGATGGATCTTTACGGTAGGCTGTTATATCCTAATAGTAGTTCGTTGGTGTCACCTGCTTTCTGCTAACATAATTTGATGTTCCAAGTTCAGATTTCATTGGACAATTTTAGAAGTGGCCGCATTCACACATTGATTACATCTGCATTCAGTCATATGGATATCGAACACCTTCTTTCAAACATGATTGGGCTTTACTTCTTTGGGGTGAATGTAAGATCATTTCATTTCTCTTGAACCATCTCTTTTTGTTTCCCTGTCCTTTTCCTCACATGTCAAAAGTGCTTTTGGTTTCTGTAAATCTTGCGGTTTTCAGATAGATACTTCTATTAATTCAAGATATACATGACCTGATCAGATGAATGAAGCTAGTTTTATGCATTATACTTGCGAAGCTCCTCTCTTATGCATTCATAAACCATGCATTGGGATAATATTGAAGCTACTCTTGATGGTAGTTGCTTCCTAGTATTCTAAATCATTTATTGAGCTGAGTACAGAGAGGGATCTGCCTCATCAATTTGCCAATCTTATTCAGTATTTGTAAGATTTGTTTGTCGTGGGATAGTTTGAAGTTCCACTAATGAATTTTGAAGTCTTCCTATGTACTTTTAGAAGATGCCTATAAAGCTGAGGCCATTTGTTAAACCGTACCATATAATGTTTTTTTTTATGTATGAATGAACAAACAAATGTTAGAATCTCTATAAATGCAATTGATTCCATTCCCTTGGATGGTTTATGTAATTTTGGTTTGCCTTTTCTGCTCAGGAGCAGACTTAAGTAGGTTTATTATTATTATTATTTTACTTATGTACTGTATTATTGGGTTTTGTTTTGTGCTGTACTTTTACACATGCGAGTTTCTTAAGCCAATCTCTGTTTTTTCCACCATTCATTCTACTCCCAACTTCTATTGCCAGATTGCTGAAAATTTTGGACCAAAATATTTGTTGAAGTTGTATCTCTGCGGAGCAGTTGGAGGCTCGGTGTTATACTTGTTGCACCACTACTTGATGGCTCTATCATCAAAGGTGAACCTAAATACATTGCACTGTTTTACTTTTTAGACATCTATTTCCTGAAGGAAGAAGTTTTTGGATTCCATGCAATCTTCTGCTGATCTTGATGTGCATAAATCAAACCATTTATTAAGCGACAAGAAAATAGGTTTTTAGGTAAATAATGTGAGCAAATGCTGGATTTTGACATCTTATCTTATATCAAGCCTGGCACTGGATTTTTGAATCATGAAGTACGATATAAGATGACACTCTTGTGGTTTGCCACGTGCCCACGCCATAAATCTTGACAATCTCTCTCTCTCTCTCTCTCTCTCTCTCTCTCTCTCAGGAACAAGGAATCTGGAAGAGAGACCCCTCAAGGACTCCTGGACTGGTATGATCTTTGAGATTCTTTTCGTTATAGGAGCTTGCGAATTACAAGTGTTATTATTGCTGTGAGTCTGACTTCCTATGTGCATAGACGCAAAGAACAGTCTCTTAATTGTTTTCTTCAATGATGGCCATTTAAATCCATGTGGTGTGGTCCTAAAATACTAGAAAATCTTTTCAAAAGCCAATAATTACTTCGTTACTCGTCTAACATCTTTAACTAGACCACACAGTACAATGCTAATCTATTACCTTGATAGATTCTCTAATTAGTCTGATTTTTCAAATGATAAAGCTGAAAGGTTTCAGGCTTTCAGCAGGCTTTTCCTTTGTGGTTGTACACAACAGAAATAGTCCATTTTATGTGTTGTGGGCAGTGGAATTTGAATCGTTTGCTTGAGTTACAATTTGTTAATTTTCAAGCATGCTTGTCGTACATTTAGGGAGCCAGTGGGGCTGTGAATGCCATCATGCTGCTTGAAATTTTCTTGAATCCAAGGGCTACCATTATGTTTGATTTCATCATCCCAGTTCCAGCCATGTTACTGGTAAGCTCCCGTAACAGAAACTTCATATCCTGCGAATGAACTTCGCTTTGCAACTCCTTGACATTGTTGCACATTGACCGATTGCCATTTCAGGGTGTCTTTTTGATCGGGAAAGATGTGTGGAGAATAGTACAGGTATGTTAGTTTCTCAAATCTCAACCCTAAATTGCCTTTTAAGGTGAGATCTCTAATGTAAAAATGTTGGTTGTTTTGGTGTTAATAAGTCATGTCCATTTCTTTGGTTCAGGGAGATAGCAATATCTCAGGATCAGCGCACTTGGGTGGTGCTGCAGTTGCAGGTCTAGCATGGTATCAAATTAGGAGAGGACGTTTCTGAGATGTTGTGTATCTTATTGATGGTGATGGTAAGTGGTAACTAACAGCAAGAGGAATAGATTGAGTCTCTAGTTCTGGAGATTGGCAAGGTTAACACATTGGTTAGAAAGTAGTAAGGAAACTCAAGTCCGAGTCGGTTTGGTGTCTGAACCAACTGGGAATAAGTAGATGATAATAGGTTCTGTACAAGTTGCTTAGAACTGTTTGATCGCACGGACTTGAATTAAACTCTGCAGTGAATTCTAGGAAGCATCTTTGAATTTCCATGATTTGCTAGGCCGTGGCGGATTCCGGTTTCCGGAATTTTTTTATAAAGGGGTTCATCTTCTAAAATACAATTAAAAATTCTTAACAAAAAAATATAAGACTTGTACAAGTTACAACAAAAACGATGGCTGTTATCATATTTTGAAAAAAAGAATTATTAGCATAAATTGTCCCTCTACTATGATTCACACCAAGTTTATCCTCTATTACAACCACCTTTCCAAACTTGGCCTTATAAATTATGTCATAATTTCGTTAATGACTACTGGGGAATGGGGAGTGGTTGGACTGTTGGGCAATGTCCCCTTTACACGTATGTTAAAACTTAAAAATATGACATTGCCTATCTATTTTGTCAAAGAAAAGGAAGAAGCTCTTACCTTCGCAAAGAAGAAGAAGAAGAAGAAAAAAAAAGCAAGACTTGACTTCGAAAGTAAACATCTCATTCTTCTTTGATGAGATTCATCCATCCTCTGGGTAAATGACCAGGCGGCGGAACAACATTGAGGGTCATTGGTCTCATCTCCGCCCTCTACTTCAACAACTGTCTCCATCATTGGCTTCTGAAAAGCGTGACGATGAGCAGGTGTTGGGCGGATGACAACAAACAATGGGACAGCGGCAGCACAGCAGCAGTCATCTCCTTGAGTGAACGCATATGTAAGGTTCATAAATGTGGCTTGTTGGGATATCCAGTGAGGGAAGAGGGGAGCCGCCGTCAATCGACGGGCGCTAGTCGACGGAAGCTTCTGGGTTGCGGAGAGATCTGTCGCGATTCCTTTCCTCTCCACAGATGAGATGAGATACCCACTAAGGTAGGGGTGGACAACGGGACGGGATTGGGTACCCGTTCCGTTTGAAATGGGTACCCGATCCCATTTGGAGAAGAAACTCCATCCCATATCCCAAACTCATACGGGTAACGGGTACCCATTATCCGTACGGAACGGATACGGATGCCCGCGGGTACCCATAAATTTATGTGGTTTTCGTTATTTGTGGTTTTATTGGCGGCAATACTTGCGCGGATTATTTCACTTCCAAGGAGGACTTCTCTTGTTTTCTTCTTATGGAAGGAAGTGCACATTCTGATGAGCAATGATCATAATAAGCTAATACAACTTGTTAACAGGTTCACTTGCTAGCAATAATTGGTCAAACCCAATAAAGAACAGTGAGAACGATGGACCAGCCAAACTTGTCCTCATAATGGGCTCTATTCTCTTTGTTCGTTTTTGTGATTGAGAAAAATCATGATCATTTGCAATGTAGCAGTGCTACTGTTGGCATGGCGGCGGTGGTGAAGAAGAAGACAGGTCGAGTAATAGCGTTAATAAATAATAGAGTAGGAAGCTGATGGTGATGAATAGCAAAGAGGTAATGGACAAAATGGAAGACATGCTCTTCTGGGAAATTTGTTTAGCAGTAGGCTACCTAGGCCTTTACTAATCTTTTCTTAAATGACTAATTTGAAGTTATTAATATGCTTGTGTTCAATCATTGTAATTTCAAACTAATGGCTTGGGTGGACGGGTAGTACGGGTATCCGTAATATCCGAACGGGTATTAACGGGTAACCCACGGGTACCCATTATCGAACTTCTTGATCCCAAATCCCATCCCATATAAGAAATTACGGGTATTTGGGTACCCGTAACCCTCAATAAACGGGACGGGTATGGGTATACCCAAATACCCGTTTCCCGTTGTCCACCCCTACACTAAGGCCCCGTTTAGTATCATTTTGTTGCTGTTGTGTTTGCAGTGGTGTTGTGTAAACATATGTACAACCACAACAAGAAAAAAACAGAAAACACAAACCTGTTTAGTTGATAGATCTGAAAAATCATTAAAACTGATAACAAGAAACAAAAACGTGTTTAGTATCATTTTGAGGCTTCTATGGAGGGGAGTCGGAGTGGCGGCGGCGGCAGGGTCTGGCGGCGGCGTCTGGGCTGGCGGCAGCGGCTGGGCAGGCGGGTGGACGAAGGAGACAGGCGGCGACGGTTGGGCAAGCGGGGCTCGTGTCGGCGGCTGTCGAGCAGGGGCCTGGTCGCGCGTGGCGCGGAGGCGGAGGTGGAAGGTCGGGAGGGCGGAGGCGGCCGTCGACGGGAATGCAGTGGGGAGAGCAGCGCCAACGTTTATGGCTGGGGAAGGGAGTGCAAGCCTCTCGTTCGAGAGAAAATGGAGGGGTTGGGGGCGGCTGAAATGTTGTAAGTAAGTAGGGTTTGGGGGTGGTATGTGTTAAAAAAAAATTGCTTCTATGAGGATTCGAAAACTGGTCTAATTTAATGAAATCAAGCACCCAACCAGTAGGAATCCCGTGTGCAACATGTGCAGGAATCATATCCAAAGCTATAAATTGTTGTTTCTCATATTTGGGCCTTGTTTTGCAACTTTGATTCACAAGAAAAAATAAAAACCAAACTAAACATTATTTTTTTTCTTGATTTTCCAAATTTCTTAAAACACAACAGGAAACAAAAACAAACAACAATAATAAACGGACCCTAAGGTTTAAAGGGGGAGGGGTAAAGTTGGAATTTATCCTCCCATTTTATTGTCGTAGAATGGTCCAACTGCAATCCAGAAGTGATTAACGGAATTATGACATAATTTCTCACAGAAGGGCAAGTTTGAGACGGTGGTAGTTGGGGAGCAAATTTTGAATTGAATCATAGTAGGATAAGTCTGCGAAAAAGTTATAGTAAAAAGGTAATCTATTACCATTAACCCTTTGAAATTTTTTGTGAAATACATGAAAATGTTTCACAAATCTCTTTCAAAATATTCTTTTACACAATTGTTTATAAAATTATCGCCTATTCGATCCGAAACATATTGTTGGTGTTTTTTTATTTATAAAAAAACACTTGGAGTTGCTATCAGTAGAATCAATAGAACTTTGAGAAGCAACTAGACCGATAGATATGAGAGATTCAATTTTGTCTCCACCATCAATTCAACTAATTCATCATTTTCTTTAATCCACAAAATAATTCATTAATATAAGGGCTAATACCATTGGAAATACCATCCTTTAGCAAAAGTATCATTTATATTACGTACATTCAATAAACACAAAAATATTCCAACGTATTATGGGTTTGCGTCATTTGTGTTACGCGAATTTATGTTGACCGTTAGAATTGACGGTTGACCTGATTGTGGTCAACTTATATTTGACTATTCCTCATATGGCTATTAGGTGTTGTCCATATATGTGCCATGTAGGAAATTAATATTAAAAAAATAGTAATTTAGTTTTCGGAAAAATAATTAATATTACTAATTTTTTTTTAAATAATTTTTTTTAAGAATGACCCTCGGATCCGGCTGACGAAAACAGTGGCCCTCCGTCCTCCGCCTCCCTTCCCTCTACAAGACTACAACCACCGCCAAGCCAACGGTGGATTGAGCACCAACGACCCTGCCAGCTCCCTATACCGATACAAGTAGATCTGAAACCAACCAGCTCCAGATCCAGATCCAGATCCCTAGTCGTCGTTGAACACCCGCCAAGAAGCCAACGAAGAGAGCCAATCCTTTCACAAGCCGGAGAAATTGTAGTCCTTTCTCGACAAACTCAATTTCGACATCATGGTGGTTCTCAAAAAGGCCACTTCTCTATTCTCTAACATCAAGATTAAGGGGCAAGTTGCTATAGGGTTGAACCCAACCGAAGCAGCTAAGTCGATCGCAAAGGCACTAGCAAAGAAAAGTCAAAGAAAATTCCTATCTCTAGAGTAGACACTGATTTTGTTGGAAGTTTCTGCCACTCTGGATTTGATGTCGACGACACAGGAGAGGAGGCGCAAAAGTTAAAATGCTAACAGACCCTTTTGTTAGCAGATACTAACTCGTATCTAAAATGGCTGAACTAATATCCACTTTATAGACAAAATTATGGCTGCTGAAAATATTTCGATAAAACTAGAAAAATTAAAAAAAAAGATAGATGAATATCAAGGAAACCTAATAAATATATTAGAAGACAATAATAAACAATTAAAATCAATATTAGAATATCAAGGTAATGAAAAACAAAAAGATATATATTCAGATTTAGAACACGCTAAGGATACAATTACCAATATAATAGTGGATATAAAACAAAGAGAAATAGCAATGGGAAAAACAACTCCAAATTCTAAGGAAATAGTTTTACCGGTAGAAGATCTTAAGGAAATCATTATTAAACTTCAAAAAATAATAATTAAATTAGATAATAAAAGGAGCATTACAATTGAAGATATAAAAGAAGATTTGAATGAGCATAAAACAGGAAAATCTAGCCCATTAACTATCATGGCACCCTACAAACTTCTATGACTAGTATTGACGAACAAATTAATAAATTAAACGATTTACTAGCCGCAATTACTATTGAATCAGAACTAGAGATAGAAGAAAATATAGAAAACGATAAAATAGTTCTTGACTATAGTAGCGACGAAAACCCCTATAAAAATTACACAAATACAAATTACACGAAAACTGAAACTGAGGATCAAGCTGAAACATCACGAAAGCATGATTTTAATGACTATAACGATGGTCAACTATTTTTTGATGAATACTTATATAAAAATTCGTATACACCTCGCAAAGGGGGAGGATGGAGTAAAATACCTCAATCTTACATACCAAAATATTCCACCACTAGTTTTAACAGTCCTGATATATTAGATCTTGATTGTTGCGTCAATCCATTAAAAGAATTAGAAGACTGGAAAAATCGAACAGGATTACTAATACAAACGAATGAAGAACTAAAGAAATTACACCCTAATGAAATGTTTAATTTCTTAATATATAAAACAACTGAGGCAGTTTATCATTATCTTAACAACATGGATATTCCTACTAAGACAACGTTATATGGAACAACGGATGCGACGAATACCTTTGAAAAAGTCTTAAATGCAATAACTCATGAATTCTTAGGACGACATCCTCGAGAAGATAAACCAAACACAACCATAAGTCAACAAGCTATTTGGCATTTAACTAATCTTAGAATTTGCAACATGTGCTTCTTAGAACCATTTATTTGTGAATTCAGAACACA